CTTACCTAATTAGACATCAATGCCCAAACAATACACATATACACAAGAAGGGGGATTAATATAACTGTTCTTACCTAATTAGACATCAATGGCCAAACAATACACACGTACATAAGAAGGGGGATTAATATAACTGTTCTTACCTAATTAGACATCAATGGCCAAACAATACACACGTACATAAGAAGGGGGATTAATATAATAGTTATGTCTAATTAGGTAAGAACTATTATATTAATCCCCCTTCTTGTGTACATGTGTATTGTTTGGCCATTGCTTACCTAATTAGACATCAATGGCCAAACAATACACACGTACATAAGAAGGGGGATTAATATAATAGTTCTTACCTAATTAGACATCAATGGCCAAACAATACACACGTACATAAGAAGGGGGGATTAATATAATAGTTCTTACCTAATTAGACAATGCGGGAGAGAATAGAATGTTCCAATAATAATAGGCGTATAAAATTATATGTTGACCAAAATAAAAATAATTATAAAAATATGAGAAAAATTAAGTCATTATCAGATCCTTGCCTCTTTCAAGAGCAGACATTTGATGCATGTTGATGATGCAACTTTCTAATGATTTTGGACTGTTTCAAAAAATGTTAAATGAAACATATCTATCAATCAGCATTACTGTCTGTTTATATCTGTCTATCGTCTGTCTGCCTGTGTATTTTTCTGTCTGTTTATTTATTTATTCGTGTATCTACATGTCTGCAATCACAACATAAGTGGCTTACATTCGAATCTTTTTATTATAACCAGACTTACAGTGCACATTTGCCGAATTACTACAGTAGAATGTCGTGAGTTTGTCAAAAAAAGGATTGAATATGAGCGACGACGTGTCGAGAGGGGGTTCTCTAAAACAGACGTTATGAATGGTGATTAACACTACTTACACTGGGAACGTTATCGTTATTGCATACTCCATCAGACAGCAGTCTATCTCGAATCTCCCAGGCAAAAATGGAGGGACACTCCCGTTTGTAATGAGCAATTTTGGCCACCACAGAAGGTGTGGCCACACGGGGTTTGCTTCCCCCGATAGCTCGGGGTCGGATGGATCCGGTTTCGTAATATCGGCCGAGGATCTTGGAAACACAACCATTAGAAACCTGAAGAATACGGGAGATGTCGCAGGGCCTCGCGCCGCTGTGGGCCAGTTCTACGATCTTCTGTCTGGTGGAGTCTGGCAGCGGCCGACCGTTGACGTAAATACCTCCCAGTTGGTTTATACCACTGTGTCCTGCAGAGAAAACACACATAAGAACTTACAATAGAAACAGTTAATTAAGTGAGCACATTATGCCATTGCTATAGGAAAGCCAAGTATCAAATGATAATGAGTAATTATCCGAGTTAAACTCAACAATTTGTTGACCGGCTCGTATGTAACAAATTGTTTTTGTTTTCTCTCCTTATTTTTTGAAATAAATGAAATTCACTGAATAAGAACGGTCATTCCATAAAAAAAAATTAATTTGTTTTATATTTTACGAGAAATCAAGTGCCTTTTGGAATTCATCTGTTTCATGCAAAGGTTGTGGTTCAAATTTTAAACAAGGACAATTTCTTGCATCAGGTTCATTTGTAAGATTCGGTAATAAGACAAACATGCGGAACAAGATAAGAACGTGTTGTGTTCTAATATTTACATGAATTGCTCAAAAGTAGAAAACACAATAAAAACCAGAGATACTATAAATAAGAAATATTTGATTTCCATCTCCACTATCTGTCCATGTCATTTCTCCACTTTTATATGTATTGGATTGATTGAGAAATAGATGTTTTTTTATCTCTATCAAAACTAAATGGGTTATAATTTCCAAAACACACGATTACCAAACAAAATCTTCACTAAAAACAATCAGGCTATCAATCAGTTCAAGAAACCTGCCACCTTCTTAGATAATAAATTGCCCAAAAAACAGAGACGCGATTTTGAACATTGCCTAATTCACAGGACATGGAAAATCTTGGTATTTTTAATATCCAGCATAGAGAACCGTTACCAATAAAAATGTTTAATTGTATAATATATATAATTTAAAAAAATCTTCATATGTATTTATTTCTATAATTCTAATAGAAATGAAAAACAATGAAAACTTAGAATTACATAAACAAAACTGTATCATTTTAAAAAGACATGTCTTAATTTATTTTCCCAATAATGATGATATTATCTTAAAATTGATTTTAATTACTTTTTTTATGGTGAGAACGCCTTACTGAAGCTGGCGAAGCAAAAGTGTAATTAAATTACTTGTAATTAGACATTAGTATGAGGCCTATTATATTTTTTTACACTGCATTCTATATCTAGTCTTTTAGGGATTTTCAAGAACTAGGAGAGTGTATAATAATAGTATTTCAACCACGCTATGTTTACCGTATCTATAACCGACGACGCGTTTCGCTCAGTTCAGAGCTCATCAAGCCGGCTGGGCTATAATACACAGATCAGTGGTTGTAACTCTATTTATATAAGCCATTTGTTACAACAATGATTTTTATACTGTGAACGCCACTTTCAACCTGACGTTCCCGGCTATACATACAGCGAACACAGTATGGTTGGAATACTATTATCATACGCTCTTCTAATTCTTGAAAATCCTTAACATTTGATTGTCCTCATTCTTATAGCTGTAGAATATTCTCTCTATTTCACACAGATGTTAAATACTGAAAGAACGTTTTAAAAAGAAATGTCAGCTCACAAATTCGCTCAGAACGCGATCTGTCCTTTTGTATGGTCTCACCAATTTAAAACAAATCGGTCTTCTGTATGAATTAGGCTTAACTTATCGTTCTGCTCCAAGACACTTCCCGCTGAACACTGTGTGGTAGTATCGATTTCTTTTCTTCCCTATGAAATATGGCCTTTTACGCTTCCCAACCGATGCTGTCGGTCAAACTGTTTCGTTTCTTTTATTATTATTTTTAATTTTTTAGAAAACTGTATATAGCTATGAAAATACATTAGCCATAAGAAGCTGCTAAGGTTACAATATAGGTACTGACACGAGAAGAAGTGCTTAAGTAATTTGTGAACACATTATACCTCATATCCTATACATACATCAGATCCTACCAGGGATAATTTGCCCTTGCGGAAAAAAGTATATAACCTGAAAAAAACCCGTGGATTTAAATCAGAAAATTATTACAGGTAATGTATTTCTCAAGTTCATAACATAATGCATCTATCTTTTTATTTGTCTGTTTAACGAAGGTGGCCTTAACGTAGTTTCAGTTGGCTTAGACCACTAGTTTCTGAGTACTTTTCCCACATCAGTTATCTGCTATGGATACAAAGGATATTAATATCTTACTATTCATACGATTTTAGTGGGTGGAAAACCGTCTTAGCCTTTAGACATTTAAATGATTATATCACAGACTTCGTACTTATTGAACCTCTTCTTTTGCGTTTGTTGAGTATTTAAAGAAACCTTATTATCAATCTCAATGGATACTGAATGACGTTAAAGTGAGTGACCTTGTAGACTATGATATCCTGAAATGGAAACATAGATCTTCTCTATTTAGTAAAGTGACTGACCTTGTAAACTATGATACCCTGAAATGGAAACATAGATCTTCTCTATTTAGTAAAGTGACTGACCTTGTAAACTATGGTATCCTGAAATGGAAACATAGATCTTCTCTATTTAGTAAAGTGATTGACCTTTTAGACTATGATACCCTGAAATGGAAACATAGATCTTCTCTATTTAGTAAAGTGATTGACCTTTTAGACTATGATACCCTGAAATGGAAACATAGATCTTCTCTAATATCACTAAGAAGTTTCATCTCTATAATTTTATTTTATTTACTCAAATAATAGCGGCTGTTAAATATGTTCTTTCATCCTTAATTTCTAATAAAATACTTGTTAGGAAATTAGGGTGAAGTAGCCATAATTTTTATAATCGTAAAAGTGATAAAAAATACTCTTTGTTGTCCAGTCTTTCTACTACAACTGTTTACGTTTCACTTCTACAACGAGAATGTCATATAAACATTCCTACAAAACCTCAACTCAGGGGTAAATCTGAAGGTTTACAACGCTAAAAGCCGGTTATCGATGCCTGTGGTGGCCACAGCACCGATAGCCCATTGTGTAGCTTTGTGCTTAACAAAAGCAAAAATCATACAAACCACATACGAATATAGTAAATTAACAAAGGCCAAGATTATATCCCCAAAAATCAATTGAACATTTTAAATTTCAGGTTAGATGCTCGTATTTTAACTGAATATTCGTGTTATTTAAAATAAGGTAATCTGAGCTAGTTTTATCATATTTGATCCTTCGGGTTGTATGTTTATTTTGTTTGTTTTGGATCTTCGCACAGAGTTACACAAGAGCTATCTGCACTAGATGTCCTAAAGTTTGAACTAATAGACTAGAGGGAAGGCAGTATTCAACAGCGCTAAGCGCCAACTGTTAGGCTACTCAAATTGAATAATAGGATTGGGCCTCTAATAACACCCACACGACCCCACTGGTGTTATATATAATAAATGGTATTAACTGCATATCAACCAAAGCACAAAATGATTTAAAGTTTTCATTTCAAACTAAATGCTCTAAGTCGGTGACAATAATTGTATTTACGATTATAACGATAACTAACTATTTGAATGCATAATTTCTCAGACTGGCATGTAGGCTTGACATACCTGATATTGAGGAAGAGTCGTCAATACCTGTTAATTAAAACTTATCCAAAGAAACGTTGTTATTATCATTAAGTTTCATTTGCATTTTCCACATTCAATAGATAAATTATTATTATCATTAAGAGTCCTTTATTTCTATATACAACGATATTCCTTTATGTACTGGGATCCAACACCTGATGTTTTACTATTCCACGGGGATTTCAATAAAATAAAGCAACCAAGAGAAAACATTTTATCATCAGCAGGTGCTATATTTCTTAGATTGACATACGGGGTAGGAGGGGAGGGGGCTTTGCACACCTGATTTTAAGGGATAATTGTAAGCATCTGTTAATAAAGACTTGTTTAAAGTAGTGATGTTTTTCGCGCCAGTTGTTGAAAAGGAGAATACTTTTTTCCCTTATAGTGAGAAACATAACTATAATCACTTGATGTTTATTTTAAAAACAGTGAATTGCATTAGTTTGTGTCTCGTTAGCACGTATGGAATAAGTAAATACATTTATACCATGGAAACTTTGGTTCTAAGTTTCAATATTCATTTTTTTTAATAAGATGTGTCATTAAAATGCTTGGCTTACAATTCATTTTAATTTTCCTTAACGATATTGCAAAACTAACTCGTTAACACCAATAACTTTCTGTTTCGTTAACAATGTTCCATTTCTAAATCCTCATTATCATTAAGTTACAGTTTCATTAACGATGTTCCACATGTAAATTGTAATTATCATTAGGTTTCAGTTTCGCTAACAATATTCCATATCTAAATCAATGTTGTAATTAAGTTTCAGTTTTGTTAACGATATTCCATGACTCAGCTCTTGTTGCTACATAACATTTGCAATGTGTAAGAGAGTCCTATTGCATATTTGTTATGCATTCAAGATCCTACGATCACCTTTAAGTTTCTATGACAATAACTACTGTCTATAAAATAACGCATGTGGGATTTATCTAAAAATCAGTCCACTACCCTTCAACTGAAATTTTTTTCTTTTAGTGAGGACAACTTTCTGATGAAATACTTTGCGATTACTGTTTTACAATTGAAGTGACTAAGTGCAGTAGATTATTTGAAATAATAACCCCCCAAGAATGTGACCTGCATGAAACACTGATAATAAAGTCATCCCCCCGCTAAGCTAGTAAGGTTATGTGTACGTAGTGTTGAAAGCCTTCCAAGGAGAATTTTTACATCAAATAACAGCTATTATTTGTATCTTAGTTGCTCGTTCTGGATCAGCTGCACGGTGCTTATGTAGTCTTTTCACAACGACCGCACTTGTTCCACAAACCACGCTCTCATTGGCCTCGCGAGAGAAAGGTTTCTTAGATGAAGTTGGTGAAATGGGCGTGTCTTTTGTAAACTGAGTGAAGGACGTTCAGAGTTGATCAAGAATCAAGCAAGTTATATGTGAGGAGATTTCTTCGTCCTGTTCTTACTGTTAGCCTCTAGTTACGAATAACATATATATTCGTAGAGCTGGCAATAACCTTATTTGACAAGCAGCTGTATGTCTGATCTTACATGAAAATTTGTAA